GTCTCTGAATATCAGTTGCTGAGGGAAGACCACCAAAGTCTGTGCAGTTCTTTTGAGCTTCTCAGAGGCGTTCAGGATGGTTAGTATTGGAAACTGCTGGGCTTTAGAAGGGGTGAGGAACCTGCAACAATTCAGATGTTGCTGGACTGTATGAGCATCAGTCATGCTGGTTGGGGCTGTTGGGAGTTGGACTTCAACAACGCTTGGACAGCTATGGGTTCTGTAACCTGCCCCAGACTCCAGGTCCCCTTATGTCCCCTCTCGCTGGACTAGCTGGACCTTTTGATTCTATCCAGGTTGTTGATTCTTCCTTCATTTCAATAACCAGCAAGAAGAAGAAGAAGAAAAGGAGGAGGAGAAGAAGATGATTTTGGATTTGATATCCCACTTTATAACTACCCGAAGGAGTCTCAAAGCAGCTAACATTCTCCTTTCCCTTCCTCCCCCACAACAACACTCTGTGTGGTGAGTGGGGCTGAGAGACTTCAAAGAAGTGTGACTGGCCCAAGGTTACCCAGCAGCTGCATGTGGAGGAGCGGAGACACGAACCCGGTTCCCCAGATTATGAGTCTATTGCTCTTAACCACTACACCACACTGGTGGTGGTGGTGAAGAAGAAGAAGAAGAAGAAGAAGAAGAAGAAGAAGAAGAAGAAGAGTCAAGTGCCCATGATGTATGTATGACAGGCTTCCTCAAACTTAGCCCTCCAGATGTTTTTGGCCTACAACTCCCATGATCCCTAGCTAGCAGGACCAGTGGCCAGGGATGATGGGAATTGTAGTCTCAAAACATCTGGAGGGCCGAGGTTGAGGAAGCCTGGTGTATGATATAAACAGGATCCCCAAATTTGCCATACAATTTACTGCAGCATGTTAGGGATATCTCCTGAAATAAGCAGGGAGTGCTTTGTCATTTGTCATTTCTGCCAGGCGACTACAGAGTGACAACTCTATTAAAGCTCGACGACACATCCAAGTACATGAAATCTGCTCTGACAAACTAGCAGCCGGGAAGAAAAATTATGGGTTTTTTGTGTATATCTGATCTTCTAATTATGCATACACACAGTCAGGGAGGAGAATGGGGAAAGATGGTTTATCAAGTGCAACTACAGGACTGCTAGGTGAGCAGGACTCTCAGAGGGAGGCAGGAAACCAAAGGAGCTTTCGAAATTGACAAATCAAATCTGAGCAATTGACAGACAAGGTAACAGGAATTCACTCCCTTCACTTTCTTCTTCTTCTTTCAAATCAGCCTGCCCACTTCCTTTAAAACAGATGCTTCGCTTCAATTCATGTAGTCAACACACATTTGACAATTGGAGCATTTTGCAACAATTGTAACGGCGAATTTTGAAGTGCGGGTGCTCAGCACAACAGATGCTGTAGCCACATGGAAACCCCAGAAATGCAGGCAGCTGTGCAGATCTGTTTTACACACAGGTTATATACCGACACATGCACACCAGCGAACAGAATGCAGCATCATACTCAATTTATTAAGACCAGCATGAGTGGAATCCTATGCATCATTTCCTGGGGTTCAAGTCCACTAAACTCAGTGGCGCCTACTTCTGACTGCATAGGCTCAGCTTGCAAGACACATCAAGCTTTCACAAAAGATCTTCATCTTACTGGAATGTAACCTTTAGCTTTTTAAACAGACATGCAAACAATCTTGCAAAGAGGCAAACTGCTAGCCTGAAGGAGGAGCCCCATTAAAGAAAAGGAAAGGAAGATCTAGCCTCTCCTTAATTGCTTGTGCATTCTGTGCCTTTCTCCATCCAGCACAAACTTGGAAGCCTTATTATCACCCACCTGCTTGCCAGAGCAAGGACTGCCCATAAAACCACCTAGCACTCTGATGACATCATCACTCCTGTGCTGAAAGAAGTCCCAAAGCTACATGAGCTTCCTTCATTGAATAAGACCCATAATGCTATTTTTTTGCAACACGAGATGGGCCTTTTCTGCAGCGGCTCCCCATTTGTGGAATGCGCTCCTCAGGGAGGTTCGGTTGGCATATTTATTATACAGTGGTACCTCGGGTTACAGACGCTTCAGGTTACAGACACTTCAGACTCTGCTAACCCAGAAATAGTACCTCAGGTGAAGAACTTTGCTTCAGGATGAGAACAGAAATTGTGCGGTGGCAGTGGGAGGTTCCATTAGCTAAAGTGGTACCTCAAGTTAAGAACAGTTTCAGGTTAAGCACGGACCTCCAGAACGAATTAAGTTCTTAACCTGAGGTACCACTGTACACCTTTAGGCACCAGTTGAAAATGCTCCTATATAACCAGGCCTTTGGCTGATTGACATCTAATGCCCTTTTAAAATGTGGGGGTTTTTTGGAGGGGGGTTTAATTGGGTTGTTGTTGTTGTTGTTGTTTTTATTATTTACTTTGTGTTTTTATATTGCTATTTTATATTGTAACTGCCCTGAGATCTGCTGGTATAGGATGGTATATTATTATTATTATTATTATTATTATTATTATTATTATTATCATTATTATTACGGCATTTTCATGGGGAACATTGGTGCCCTTTCACTGCTTCAATGAAAGACCACTATCGACAAACAAGTTTCCTCCCTGCTTGTTAAAAAGTACACAGATGTAAAGAGCTTGCTTTATTGCCCGAGCCATGCCTAAATTTGGAAAGTTTGCCTCCCGCCTTCCTTGCCAACCCCCAACCCTCAAAGCAGCTTTCCCCCATCGCCTTGAAGAGGTCCTGGGTGATGGTAGTTGGAGCTGTGATGGCAGATGGGAAGATGTGGATCAGCCTGTTTCCTTCTCTGTTGCCATGGCATGCTGCTCTCTGTCACAATAGCCCTCGGGAGAAATTGGCCGCAAACACAGCATGTTCCCTTTGGGGCTCTGATCAGTGCAGCCGCCTGATCTTCTTGCCTGGGAAATCTTCTCTGCCACCAGTAGATAAACGAACAACAAAAAAAGGCCAGTTTTTCCTTCCACCTTCCCTTTTAAGAGGTTCCCAATAGCAACAAGTGCAGCATGAACACCAGGAAAGGTTAACATGGAGGAAAGAGCGTGACCTCGGAATGCCACAAACATCAGAGGCGATTGTTCCAAAGAAAACAATCTTTATTTCAATTGTTGTCTTCTTGATTGTTTATTTCCTTTAGCCTCTGACCCCAGAAGTCAAGCAATAAAGAGGGGAAAATATGTGTTTGAGCCAGAAATAAAGGCTTTAGTTCTTCTTCTTTTTTCCCCTTTTCATTTCCCCCCTCTCTCTTAAAAAAGCAGCCACTTTTTAAATAGTCAGACTGACTGTGTTATGGGGGCTGTTCAGTCCAGGTGATACCCCAGGTGCCCAGGACCTGCTCTGCTTCAGATCTAAATGGAAAATATATCTGGGGGTTATCTCCATACTAATGTGGTCCTGGAAAAGAAGAGTTTCTTGAGTGTCAAAGGGAGTCTTCCTGGATCTGGTGGCCTCCAGATGTTTGACTACAATTCTCATCAGTCCCAACCAGCTTGGCCAATGATCAGGGAATGATGGAAGTTGTAGACCAAAACATCTGGATGATACCAAGTTGGGGTTGGCAGGTTTAAGATACTTCACAGATATTAACTCCCCTTCTCAGTACCAAAGTTGACTAGGGTTGGTTATGCTGAGATAAGATGGCGCCTGACACACTTCCCCTGTGCCGATGGACGCCTGTGCCGATAGAAAAAACTTGAACCTCTTAGTAGAGTTCTTAGCAGAGTTCTGCAGCGGTAGAAAGTGTTGCCTTGTGTGTGGATAATAAATTAGACTGAACGCAGGCTTCTTGCTAATCTCTAACAGCCTTTAATGAGAAGAAAAACATCATAAATCAGCCCGGCGAGAGAGCGGACATTCTTTCGTCTCTCAGCCAGAAACGAAAGGAAACTCACACACAAAGAAAGATTCCCGTATGTGAACCAAACCACGCCTCAGAATGTGAGATGTCACACAGAACTGTTTAACCCTGTAAGTTCTGATTCTCCTCACAGGTTACTGCTTCCCAGTCTAAACTACCTCACAGGCTTTGAAGAGAAAGAAACCACGCATGCCCCTTTGAACTCTTTGGAGGTAAACTGGGAGAAAAATCTTCTAAGTAAATAGCTATACCCTGGAATAAGTTTTTGGTGGGGTTCTGCCTTACATAAATCTTCCTGGCATCCCTCTCATGGTCCTAGGATGGCCTTATCAGCCAGTTTGTTGAGCCAAAATGATTTCCATCAACTAGAAACCTCCCTGGAAGGACAGATCCTGAAGCTGAGACTCCAATACTTTGGCCACCTCATGAGAAGAGAAGACTCTCTGGAAAAGACCCTGATGTTGGGAAAGATTGAGGGCACAAGGAGAAGGGGACGACAGAGGATGAGATGGTTGGACAGTGTTCTCGAAGCTACCAGCATGAGTTTGACAAAACTGCGGGAGGCAGTGGAAGGCAGGAGTACCTGGTGTGCTCTGGTCCATGAGGTCACGAAGAGTTGGACATGACTAAACGACTAAACAACAACAACAGAAACCTCCTAAGGGAGAGGATTTGGGAGAGAGTGCAAAGGAGAGACAGTGGACACTACGCTTCAGTAAAGAAATGAGAAAAGAAGGTGGAATTGCAGGGACAAAAGGAATTGACGTTGACTGCTTTCCACCTTGAGGGGCATCTAAGGGCATTGACTGATGTGACTTTGGTTTGCTAAACTTCCGGAGCACCACAGAAGGATGATCAAGTGGGGAGAGCATTCTAAAAACAGCTTTAATGTAGGTTGTCGGTTTACAGTTCAAGATGTTAATCCCCCGGTGCTGGAGAATGCCCTGTCTCCTTGAATTAACCATAATGGTGCATGTAAAAGGCAATGGAGCGGATTGTGGGAGAGTTGAGAATGAGGCATGTGTGGCACAGCTAACACTCTGTTCAAAGCGCAGAAGAATATTTGTATCCCACCCTCCCCGGCCGAAACCAGGCTCAGGGCAGCTAACATCAAATACATAACATTGGTATAAAATCAAACAATAATTAAATCACCTGCTAAAAACAGGTCAGGATCAAATTAAAATCTAATTAGATGGCTTTCTGCAGAATTAGGGTCAATACAAAGATGGGACTGGAGGGTGAGGATGCCTAAAGCCCCCATAATCCCAGACTACTGGTCATTTTGGCTGGAGTTCGTGTGCCTCCTCCACGAGAATGGAACTTTTCTGCAGTGACTCCCTATTTGTGGAATGCTCTCCCCCAGGAAACTCACCTGGTGCCTTCCTTATACACCTTTGGGGCCAGGTGAAAACATTTCTCTTCAACCAGACCTTTGGCTGATTGGCATTCAATGCCCATTTAGATGTGTTGTGGGAAAGAGGATTCTTAGTTTGTTTTCGTTCTTATATTTTAATGTATTTGGTGTTTTTTATATTGTATTTTGGGGGGATGTGGGGGGCGCTGTGGGGTAAACCACAGAGCCTAGGACTTGCCGATCAGAAGGTCGGCGGTTCGAATCCCCGCAATGGGGTGAGCTCCCGTTGCTCGGTCCCACCTCCTGCCAACCTAGCAGTTCGAAAGCACGTCAAAAGTGCAAGCATATAAATAGGTACCACTCTGGCGGGAAGGTAAACGGCATTTCTGTGCACTGCTCTGGTTTGCCAGAAGCGGCTTAGTCATGCTGACCACAAGACCCAGAAGCTATATGCCAGCTCCCTCGGTCGATGAAGCGAGATGAGCGTCGCAACCCCAGAGTCGTCCGCGACGGGACCTAACGGTCAGGGGTACCTTTACCTTTACCTATATTGTATTTTTAGCTTGTGAAGCACCTTGAGATCTATGGATGAAGGGTGGTATAGAAAATGATGATGATACTAATACTAATACTAATACTAATAATGCATGTGTGTGCACACACAACTACACTGATCATTCATGGAGGAAGATTGCAATTAGTAGCCCAAACATAATTCTGCATCACTAATCAGCCCTCCTCAACTGGATGTTGCAGGACTCCAGCCAGAGCTGCTTGGAACTCTAGTCTAAGACACAGGGAGGTCATCAGGCAAAACTGATCTAGGTTTTAGGAATTTTATTCTTTTTATTCCATTGCAATCTTTGAATTTTAAGTGCTCAGGAAACCAGCCAAGCAAAAGAACGATCATCATTGCATTTTGTGTTAATTAGACATTGCAATTTGCATTCTCCTCTCTGCCTCCCGTCACCTCCACCTGTTTCCTATGAGCAGAGGAGACTCTGAGAGCATTTGGGTCACAGAAAGGGAACTGACTTGCTGATTTTAATGACAGAGCTCAGCATGTTCTTCTGGCAGCTTTGAGTAACTTGGGCCCCAGAACTGTCACGGCAGTTAAATGTTACATGTTGCAAATTGAGACATTAAGGATCGTGGGCTAGTGGGTGATGCCAGCATTGCTGAGTGTGAGCCAGGATGATTAATGTCGTTTGCTACTGACTTTTTGACGACTCCATTAATTAAGACTAAAAAAAATAATTTTTTTTTAGTTGGTGTAGTGAGCTGGGGTTGTGTATTGGTTATGGCTGGAACTAGATGACACTGACTCTGTAGAGTCTTAAACCAAAAAAATCAGCAGCTCCATCTGTATTTCTTTAGTTTTATATTACACCTTTCCTCCAAGGTGCTAAGCATGGACAAGGTAGGTCTGTGGCGATCACACAGGGTCATTTCACCGTCTATTGATCCCTGTGCCACCACTTTATTTCTCACTGCCACCACCCAGGCCCGACCTGGTACAATACTGAGTCCATTCAGGGTTAAATTGGAACATTAACTTCTGTTTATTTATTGCAGTTTAACAAGCGTGTGGTTTCATAAACGGTATCGGTCAATTACAGTCATGGGGTGCCTATCCAGACCTATAACTTCCACTACCTGCTCTCACTCACTAAACCACCTCTCAGATATTTACTTGTCTTCCTAGCCCCTAACTGTTCCTGACTCAGCCTATTTCGCTACACCAACTCAACCTACCCACAAACTCTATCCCAATTCACTCCCACTCCAACTAACCACCCAACTCCCAACGAACTCCTCCCTTCACCTCTCCCACAGCTGGTTTTATAGTCCCTCTGACTCCACCCCCTGGGTCCTGATTGGGTAACCTGTTTAATTATTTCACCTCCAGCACTCTCATATGTTAACGTCACCAGGTCTTCTTCCCCTTCACAGCAAACCTATAAGGTGAGAGCGAGATGACTGAAGGCCATGTTGTGAGCTTCCTGGGTGAAGTGGGATTTGAACCTGAGTCTCCCAAGTCCCCATCTGACATGCAAACCTACTGTAACTACAATATCACACGGGTGCCTTACTCCTGTTCTCTCTTCCCATCAGTGAAGAACTGTGCGGGGAGAGAGACTCTGTGCTAGCCAGCAGGTAATGACTTTTTCCACCTTCCTTGCCCCACCTTCCAGCCCTGGGAATCTTCATAAGGGACCTGTTTCCAGAGGAAGAACTATGAGGGGAGAAAGACTCTGTTTGCCACTAGAGGGTGGCTGGTTTTACCTGTGCTGCCCCACCTCCAACCAGAGGAACCTTCAAGGGGGAGTTTCTGCCAGAGGCACTATGTCGATGTGTATTTTAATGAGCTGAACAGAGTGAAAGAATATGAGTTATGGGGCTGGGGAGATAGTGTGTGTATGCTATTTTGTTAATGTTATTGATATTGTTTTATTGTCTATTATAAATGCTGCACTGATTTGCTAATCATCTAAAATGACTTTTGATTTAATTATGATGTCTAGCTTATTTTTTTTGAGCTGTTGCTGTGCCATCTAAGTGTCTTAGATTGCAATTGCTTCATTGATGATTTGTTAATTATTCTACATGATTTATCCAGGATTTGTGATGTTCTATCATGTTATTGCTATTGATTGTTTGTATGCCGCTTTCGGATTCATTTGAATGAAGAGTGGCATAGAAATATAATAAATCAAATCAATGGGCTTGGATAGCTCAGTTGGTTAGGGCACAGTAATGATAACACCAAGGCTGAAGGTTCGATTCCCATATGGGACAGCTACAGTGCAGTTTTAACAATGAATCTGTAAGTGACTGTGAAGGCCAATTCTGGATCCACACGTCCTTCCACAGTGGGGACATTGGTTTCTGGGTGGGAGTTGATCACAGTGTGGATTTGTCAAGCGTGCCTTCCTCTTAGCACGTTTCTCCCTTGCGTCCTGAGTTCAAGCATCTTCAAAGCCCATGACACCTTTGGTAAAGGCTCCAACTGGAGCACTCACAGGCAAGTGTTTCCCAATTGTTGGTGTTTATACTACATTTTTTTAGATTTGCCTTGAGAGAGTCTTTAAACCTTTTTTGTTGACCACCGGCATTACGCTTTCCATATTTAAGTTCAGAACAGAGTAGTTGATTTGGAAGACGATAATCAGGCATCTGCATGAACGACTCTCCACCCTTCGAATAAAACTCACCAAAAACCAACAAGCTACTATTATAAGTGCTTATATTTTGGATTAGAAGACATTTGACCCCATAGGAACATAGGGAGCTGTCAGACAACTGGTCCACCAAGCTCATTGTTGTCTACTCTGGCCGTGCCTATGCAGGGTTTCTGGCAGATGTTCTAACACTAAGCGATATTGGCTTATATTATGCATATATGTTCTGTATTATTTTATTAATACTATTGTTACAAGTTGCCATGGTGTTTGTCTCTAGAACAATAAACCTGTGAACTAAGTCATGGCCCTTCTCCACACACTTCCTTTATTATTCCTCACTTTGTGGAGAGCTGAATTGATCACCTAACCAGAGTTCTTCTTGCTTCTCTGGACATCTTGTTTTTTAAAACTATTTTGGGATGTCTCATAGAATCATAGACTCCAACCTTTGTTTATAAACGTCCAGTGAAGAAGAGTTTGAGGGAGTCTGTTCCATAGTTGAACATTTCTTACCATCAGAAAGTTCTTCCTAAAGTTTAGTCAGAATGTCCTTTCTTGTAATTTGAATCTATGTCAACACCTGGCCTATTAGGGAAACTTCAATTGTCATGTCAACTGAAGACGGTGCCGCTTAGCGTAGCACTACACCAGGGGTCAGCAAACTTTTTCAGCAGGGGGCCGGTCCACTGTCCCTCAGGCCTTGTGGGGGGCCAGACTATATTTTTTTGGGGGGGGAATGAATGAATTCCTATGCCCCACAAATAACCCAGAGATGCATTTTAAATAAAAGCACACATTCTACTCATGTAAAAACACCAGGCAGGCCCCACAAATAACCCAGAGATGCATTTTAAATAAAAGCACACATTCTACTCATGTAAAAACACGCTGATTCCTGGACCACCCACGGGCAGGATTTAGAAGGTGATTGGGCCAGATCTGGCCCCCGGGCCTTAGGTCTCCTACCCATGCACTAGGCCAGCGTTTCTCAACCTGTGGGTCCCCAGATGTTGTTGAACTACAACTCCCATCACCCCTAGCTAGCAAGGCCAGAGCTCAGGGATGATGGGAATCGTAGTCCAACAACATCTGGGCACCCACAGTTGAGAACCGCTGCACTAGGCAGATAAAGCACCCAGAAGACTAATTTCCTCTGCGCTGAAAATGGTAAACCAGGAAGCCCATCTAAGAGACAAACAATCTTTCTGCTAGCAATCTCACACTGTGAGCATCATACTGTGCTTTCAAACTGCAGCTCTGATGTGCTCCTTCCGCCCCCCCCAACAGCAGATGGTTCAGAACCCACAACGCACCACCCACTCTGTGGCAAATCCCTTCCCTTGTTTTTCCCCTCCTGGACAGATCAGGCGATTCTGAGCGCTGATGTTATCCATTCCCGGGTGCTTCCCCTTCCGAAGTCCCTCCTCATCCTTAGGCTTCTTGCATGTTAAAACCAAGCAGACAAACTGGGCTGGTGTTTCCCTAGCTCTAATTACTTTTAATAATACTAATAATAATAAAACCCCTCAAAAGTTCAAATGGGGAGATGCCAGCTAGCATCTCTGAGGCATGCAAGAACACGAGCCCGTGTTTTGACAAGGCTGCTTCGCAAAGCATAATGCCAATAATTCACATTCCTGGGGAAACGTTCCAGATGGTGCAATCTGTTTACTTCTCTGTTGTTTGTGCAAGTGGTTGTGGCAGCACTAAGGGGCACCCATAATTCATTGCAGTTAAGGAAATGGAGAAGAGATATCAGATGTGCAGATTTTGATCGAGGGCACTGGAACTTTGGCACACCAAGCTCACGGAGTGTAGCGATTTGGTCAATGAGGTGAAACTTAAGAAATGTATTGATGTCTCGGACACCTGGCTTGGCAGCGGGATGTAAGAAAAGCATCCTGGTTGTCTTATTTAGACCACGAGCTTAGCATGAGTCAACAGCAGCAACAAATGCTAATTCTATTCTAGGTTGGATGTCGTTCAAGGGGAGCAATAGTACCACTTTATCCTGCCTTGGTCAAGCTCCACTTGGAGGACTGTGTCCAGTTCTGGACACCACAGTTGAAGAAGGAAACTCACAAGCTGGAATGTGTGCAGAGGAGGATGAGCAAGGGACTCAAGGTAGCTTACAGAGAAAATAAGAAAAGCTAAAAACATAGGAAAAGGAAACCAGGTCTTCCTAAACATTAGGGAGAACGTTTTTATGGTAAGAGCTTTTTGACAGTGGGACGGACTCCCTTGGAAGCCCCCCCTTCATTGGAAGTTTGTAAGAAGAGATTGGATGGTCTTCTGTCAGGGATTCTTCTGTTATATAAGTTAGAGTTCTTGTTATTAAATATATATAATACTTGTTATTAAATATATATAATAAATTATACATAATATATAATTTTTGATAATTTAGAATTTAAATGTATTTTCATGTAATGTTTGATACTTCCAGCTGATGAAGGTGAATACATCAAAACAGGGCCCTGTCCTGGTTTCTGATCCATAATTGACTTCTGACTTCTGCTCAATGATTGAAACTAAGATCTTCACATCAAATCTGACTATGGACTAACATGAACTTATCTCTACCCATAAACTCTTATCTTTAATACTGTAACAAATTATTGTGTTATACATATTCTTATGAGTTTGAGTTTGTAATCTCTGAGTTTGCAATCTCTATTTGAGTTTGTAATCCTTGTCAGAATACATACTTTTGAATGGATTAGTTTTTGTTACAATTGACTATTGATTTGAGAGTAGGGACCACTCCCACTTTTGAAACTTATATTGGCCAGGGATTCTTTCGTTGACATTCCTGCATTGCAGGGGGTTAGACTAAATGACCCTCATGGTCCCTTCCAACTTTCTATGATTCTGTTATTCTAAATTTGAAGAATGAGTCTAACCAATCCAGCAGTGATTTGGTACCACACATGTCAACTCATCTTATTCTGGTGCCTTCCTGTTCTGTGGTGAATTTGTAGTGGAAGAACTGTCTGATGGTAAGAGCTTCTTCAACGGTGTAAAGGTCTCCCTTGAAAGGTTATGGACTCTCCTTCATTGGACATTTTAAGCAGATGTCCATCTTTCATGGATGCTTGAGTTGAGGTTCCTGTACTGCAGAAGATGACCCTCAGCTTTTCTTCCAGCTCCACAATTCTATAATCCTATGAACCATGTTCTTTGACATTTTTTGTGGATGGCAATGGAGTCTTAGAGGTGCTCCTCATCCTCAACTGCTTTTTTCTCTGGGTTGTACCTTGTTTTCTCTTCCCAGCCCACCTCCAAAGGTTGCTAGCTAATGGACAGTCAAGTAGCCTCTTCAGGATAACACGGAACAACACACTGTACTTAATGTTGACACTGTTCAGTGAAACAATTATTACAATCAATTTGACTTCTAATGTGACTTTCCTTGTAAATCTCTGGGTCATTAACCTTAACAACATCAATGTACTGTCAGTATCCAATTTCACCAAATTAGTGTCTGAGGTAATAGGAGAAAGAATGTATTAGAGCATTATTGGTGACTAATAAAGACAGTCATCCTTCTAATGTACTAGGAGGAACAGCTGAAGCATGTAAGGGAGAGGAAGAGAAAAAGAAATCTAGAGCGGGGGCGGGGGGGGACAGAGACACATGGAATGTCTTAGTAGAGGTCATTGGCTCAGATGCTACACAACTTAACCTTCATCCCTCTGTGGAAGGAGGAGCAGAGCCCAGAGAGAGTTCCTTGGCAATTGATGGATGGAGTGTGCAGCCATTTCCCTCTGGACAGATGAGCTGCCTCAGAACAACTTTGCTGTTTACGTGACGCCATGGCCTACCGGTCCAAGACAGTGATTTTCCAAGTGTCACGCAGGCATACCTAGAGAGGCATGGAGGGTTGCCAAGAGAGCCATGTGGCTGGTCCAAACAGCAGGATCCTGGCAGGCAGAAGGTACAAGACGAAACGCCTCAAGTCCTGAGGTGATTCAAGGTCTTGCATGAGGAGGACAAAGCGGGCTTTCTCTCCACCCCCTCATATCCATTATACTCTGTGGTTTTTCAGGCCGCTGAGTCCGAGTCTGCAGGGGAAATGGACTTACTGTGTGCAGAGCTTTTAATCCACTGCATCTGATCCTGACGCCTTGCACTCAGGCTTCCTGGGGACCATGTTGTCTTCTCCCTACTCTTGAACATAAGATGAGCCCTGCTGGATCAGGCCAAAGGTCCACCTCATCCA